TTTTTTTTTGTAAATTCCATTTAATCTTGTCATGTTTTACTGTGTACACAAAACACTCTAATGAAATTTTGCTTCTAAATTAGAAAAAACCTCAGAATATCTGTTTCAGAAAAATAGTAATGCTCAGAGTAAGTGGGGGATAAACTGGCCAGTAGATAATTTTTAAACTACTCTGAAAGAAGGGGATCAGCGATGTACTTTATTGAACTACATTGGCATGTTCCTCCATTTTCTATGATTTCTTATGGAGTCCTTTATAAAGGAGGTAGTTCTTTTGTTAGAAATACACAACTAGGCTTACATTATTTCCATGTTTTATAACACCTTATAATAATAACATAGAAATTACCCTATAACACCTTATAATAATAACATAGAAATTACCCTACTGGATCGGACCCAAAGTCCATCTAGTATCTGTCTCTTGACAGTGACCAGTGCCAAATGCTTCAGAGAAAGCTTGGATGAACCCTGCACTAGCAGATGTGGGATAATCAGCCCCCACATTAGGTCTTATTTGTATTTCTAATAGAGATTGGTTTATGCCCTGACAGATCAAATTTACTATCCTGCCAAAAAGTGTCATTAATAATTATTACTTGAAAAGCAAAGAAAAATAAAAAAAAATGACAGTGGAGGTCAAAGCGGGGTACAGCTTCTGTGAACTAGATTGGCCCTTCATTCTTAGACGAGGAGATGACTGTTACTTACTTACCTTTGCAAAAGTCTAACTGACTGGGGAGGGGACATATGGGAGGCTTGATTATCTTTGATATGATCAGAGTTATGCAAAAAGCATGTGTGCATTGTTGGGCCTTGAGGCATGATGCTTGTTTCAAGTATTCCTGAAATAGTCATGGTTTATTACTGCCGTGTTGCTTTCCTCTTTTTCCCAGTATTTTTATGTGGTTCATTCTGTGTGATGGTTTAGTGACACTACAAAATTAAGGGGATAGCTTCCTAGTAGATCCATTTGTGCAAGTTTCATTTTGCTTCATTTTGTTTCAGTAGAACCTTGTACATATTGACAATTTGCATGCACCATCGTGCCCCATATTTATTGCAATGGGTGTTGCTAGGGATTCCAGGTTCTCTGGGTCTTCCAACTCTGTGATGTTTTCTCTCTCTTCTTTCGTAGACTGATCACCTCTCCAAAGATGACACTCTGACACTGTCCCCCAGCAAGGACTTGCTGAGTGTGAGAAAGCCTTCCGTAGGTCGCACCCACTCTTTGCCAAATGACAGCTACATGTTCCAGCCGCCGTACGCTGGCTCCTGTGCCAACTCCCAGGCCGAGAGGAACGCATCTCATCAGAAATCGCAGTCAGGTACAAATCTCTCCACTCTGACAATATCAGGGCTGGGGGTTTCCAAGGGTACCTACGGAGCTACCTATGTTGTTACGTATCATTTGTATCAAAGCTACCTAGATAGCTGTGTATCAGTTCTGATGGCAATTGGGTCTCCAGGGCCCTAAAATGGTTTTGAAATGCCCATCTATCCAGGGCTGCCCTGAGGATTCAGGGGGCCTGGGTCTTCAGCAGCAGGGGTCCTTCCCGCTCTGGGTCTTCGGGGCACTTCGGCAGCGGGTCCTGGAGCGAGTGAAGGACCCGCGGCCGAAGACCCGGAGCGGAAGGAACCCTCGCGGCTGAATTGCCGCCGAAGACCCGGAGCGGAAGGAACCCTCGCTGCCGAAGACCCGGAGCGGAAGGAACCCTCGCTGCCGAATTGCCACCGAAGACCCGGAGCGGAAGAAGCTCCGGGTCTTCGCTCCGGGTGTGTTCGGCGGCACTGAAGGACCTGCCGCCGAAGACCCGCCAAAAACTCTCATGGGGGCCCCTGAAAAATTTCATGGGGGCCCCTGTGGGGCCCATGGCCTGGGGCAAATTGCCGCACTTGCCCCCCCCCCGGGCGGCCCTGCATCTATCAGGTATAAACTAACAAATTGGCCAGTCTAAAATAAAAACTTCCTCTATCTGAACCTTGCATCCATTTTAGAACCAAAACTTTGTAAAGGGTTCAGATGAAAGGAAGTGACTGGACTGTCGGGAGGGCAGCATTTATAGTCTGCACGTGGTTGGCAGCAGTGGACCCGTCTTACATTCTGCCCTCCTATCGCTGCCTTCAGGGGTCAGAATTCTTAAGAACTGTGGAAGCTCCACCAGTCTCACCCCAGCAAACTAAGACCCGTGAATGAAAAACCCCAGCAGAAGTTATCTTTAGAGGCGTGTTTCCTCACTTCTTGTTTCTGAAATATTGTGACGAGGTCTGTTCTGCTGTCCACTCTTCTTCTCAGGGCGGGATGGCCCAATGGTGCTCCTGAGCCCGTGGGTCTGTCCTTAGATGCAGGGCAGCACGGCCTAGTGGCCCAAGTCTGTGAGGTGGCCCTGGAGCTCAGGGCAGTACGGCCCAATGGCCAGAATCAGCGGAGCTGTCCTTATATATGGGGCAGCACAGCCTATCGGCCAGCATCAATAAGACCCCCCTTCAGCACAGGGCAGTATGGCCTAGCAGCCAGAGTTAATAGGACTGCCCTCCTGCACCAGGCAGTATGGCTTAGTTGCCAAAAAGAGAGTAGGCCACCACCTAGGGGTAGGTTGGTGGCCGAGGTAGGAGAACCTGGGTCCTCCCTACTCCACCGGGTCCCAGCCCAGGGTCAGCGCGGATCCCACCGAAACAGGCTGACTCTGTTCCTGGTACCACATCCAGATCAATGTCTGGGTCCCATGGGCTACTTCCTACTGTGTCTTCCTGCTACATAGTCCTCAGGTCCTCTGGTTCTCCAGGATATTCAGCAGGTGATGTTCCCAGTGGTTCCTTCTCCTCATGGGCTTCCATTGACAGCCGGGTATTCGCCTGGGTCTCGGTGTATGTGGCCTCTGCGGTCTGGGGCTCCAACAGCTTCCAGGCAGGAGCACACAACACATATCCTCTCTCCTCCCCAGACTGAGTTGAACTGCTCCCTCTTATAAAGTGGTTCCAGTTGGAGCTTGCCCAGCAGGGAGAGGGTGGCGTGGCTTCCTCAGTCCATAGTATGGGGTTAACCCCTTCTGGTCCAGGGCAGGGCAAATATACCCGGTCGCAGACACATTCTCCCAAATGGATCCCCATTTCAGAACATTTTCAGGTTAGCTCACCCCTCCCTGGATTGACAGGGGCATGATTCCTCTTGTGAGACTGAAGAAAGATAATGAATTCTATTCTTTAGAGAGAACAATGAACTGGAGTGTTGGGGCAGTCTTTATTGCTTCATAGCATATGAAGCAATGAATGTGGCCTAAGATTGACCGAAGCACTGGAGCAAATCTGACATCTGTAATCAGTCTCCAAAGTGTTTACTGGGAGTGCATTACAAAGCAGTACATGTTATCCCTGTTGTAAAACCAACCATGACATCAAAATGAAAACCAAAATAATGGTCATTCTTCCCTCAGGAGAATTTCAAAGTCCTTTTCTGTGTGTTTCTCAGAGTCTCCAAGGAAGTACTAATAGGTTAGATGTGTGTCATGTTTGGGAGAGAAGCACAGTCTCGTGGCTAAACAGAGTGGGAGTCAGGAAATCTGCAGTCTGTTTTCAGCTCTGCCACTAACACTTCCTGTGGCCTTGAGCAAGTCACTTAACCTCCCTGTGCCTCATATGCCTCTTTACAGAGGGAGCTTGTGAGACTTATTGTTTGTAATGCACTTTGAAATCCTGGGATGGAACACACCATGGGAATGCTAAGTTGTGGTATTGTGCAGTGACAAGACACTGACAGGCTGGTTTAGAGAAATAACCGGGTAGAGTTTGTGTTTAAAATGTAAATTACTGTTCAAAGATGGGATTTCCCATTCAAAGGTTGTTTGATGGAGTGGACTGGGTTGGACAAGAAGAGTTCTCAATTAACATATAGGGCCAGGTTGCCATAGACTGGTGCCACAAATTGCACCTACGGTAGCATCTGTGCAAAATGGGGAAGTGTGTTTAAGGGACCCTTAGTGCATGCAATTTCTTAGGTTTACATGTGCATTTTTTTCAAGTGCTACCCCTGGTCCATATTGGCCATCAGGATTTCACTGTTGGGATAGTCAATATTTTGGGGGTGCAGTTGGCAGAAATTCTTGTGTTGCACAGCAGGCTATGCAATACCTTCTGCTGGTCAGTTAATATAGTTCCCTTCAGTTTATCTGCACCTGCTCTTAATGGACAACAGCTTGTAGGCTCTTGTCCTAGGTAAGGCAGAAAAGATTTTCCCGAGCATTACC